TGGGACTTTTCTCTCACTATTCTTGTTCTGGACATTTTACCTTAGTCGCATCTTCAGAAAGAGGGAAATGGAAGGGAAGTGCTGCCTCTTATACTGGGACCTAAGCGGGGAGGGGCCTATGTTACTGCATGTTCATTATTTTTTCATTCTGTTTGTATTCTTTGCTGCTATTGGTGGACAGTAAAGAAAGGGATATGCAATATGAGCCTCTGTGTCTTTAATAAAATCATGACTTTTCGTCATGTAATAGCAAAATCATGTAATTGTGTTCTTAAACAAGCAACTGAAGCTATGTTCTTATGTTTTAAATGACCCTTGTGATTGTGGTACACCAAGTTAGAAAGCTAGGGTTTGTATTAAAGGTGGGGGGGGGGGGGGGGAAACACCATATTTCACCAATATAAATAACCATGGTGCAATATTAAATTTTCATATTATTTCACCCATATAATGTTTAATATTGACAGATATAACCTGTGTTAGACAGGCTAGGAATTTTACTTTACAGTTTGGAGTGCAGAAGAAATAAAACCATTGATTGAAAATGTTAAATAAAATAAAAAATAGAGGTGTCAAATATGACATTTTTTTATAGTCAAAAAGTTGCTAAAATAGATACCATAAAGTTGTCACATCAAATCGCAAAACCTTTTTAAAAACTAGTGAAATCTCAATGCATTATTTCTGTTAAATAGACTTTGATTATTCTAATGTTACTAAAATGTCAGAGAGAAGTTTATGATAATTGAATTACAAGTTTATAGGTTTTCTACTATGGTTTTGTTCTTGCTTGTAATTTTTTACAAAATGGCTTCTGGTTTTCTTCTCTTGCATATGACCTTTACATATATAAGTACATTTTATCTGTCTTCCCGAAAGCTATTGTATTCATCCTGTGCTTTCCTTAAATCAATCTGACTTTTACGATACTTCAAGGACAACTTCTTCTGTGCTCGTACGCTATTTCGAATAGATCAATTCCCATTGACCTGATGTAATGACGTAACCTACTAAATCTTGTTGCCTTGGTCGTTTGATATCTAATACAATGACAACAGAACAACAAAACACGAACAAAAATAACATTACTAACATTTTAGTAGGGTGGGGATAGACTATCTCCCACACACCTTTATTTCCATCCTTATAAGAAATGCTCCTTCAGGGAAAAGGGTCGGACCTTTGACCTTTAAACACAAGACCAAGCTAATGTCCTCAGAGGTAAAGGTGAGCATTTCAGCATATGTTTCGCTCACGGGAATTCCAACTGAGGAACTGTGACGGTTGGGCGCTCGATAGAACAGCACTAGAATAGAGACCGCAAAGCCACCTCTCAATGTAGATCTAATTATCACTCTCAGTGCCAGGCAAATATGTTTGTAACACCAGGTCACCAATACTAGTCACACCTAATTAGGAGGCATGAGCAAAAAGATAAAGTATTTTAGACACTCTCATGATTTTTACAGTGTAAACGTTACTCATTAATAAAATATCAGAGTGTTTCCAAGTTTTCAGCATTCTTTTAATGAGAATAAGTTGCAGAATAAAGATGTTTGTTTTCTGTTTGAAGCACGCTTGATCCCTAGGTAGTCTAAGGTGTGACAGCGGATCTTGAAATTTAATGTTTTAACCAAAACATTTTGAACAATTCAATTTGTAATGAGAGAAACTTGCAAAATGTCTCAAAATCACAGTTAACCAAAGATCAGAGGACATCATCAACAAAGAGGTCTTGTAGTCACCCAAGTCTGATTTTAGTCCAGGGATATTTTTATCCCTGTATATGGATCACTAGTAGTGATGTCCCGAACGGATCGCCGAACGGTTCGCGAACGGTTCGCCACGGACTCATCATTGAGTAAACTTTGACCCTGTACCTCACAGTCAGCAGACACATTCCATCCAATCAGCAGCAGACCCTCCCTCAAAGACCCTCCCACCTCCTGGACAGCATCCATTTTGAAGCTGCATTCTTAGTGAGCTGTCCAGGACATGGGAGTGTGTGGGAGGGAGGGTCTGCTGCTGATTGGCTGGAATGTGTCTGCTGACTGTGAGGTACAGGGTCAAAGTTTACTCAATGATGAGTCCGTGGCGAACTGTTCGTGGCGAACCGTTCGCGAACCGTTCGGCGAACCGTTCGGGACATCACTAATAACTAGTAATATATATTTATGCCAAATATGCCTAATAATGTATAGGTTCCCATTGTGATACCAAAACAGTTTTGATGCTTTGAGGCATGGATTCAACAAAACCTGATGTGGTGTGGGATCTCATTGATGTGGTCTGCTTGCAGTGTGCCTGTTCCCCTTACTACTGCAATGTAAAACATTGCAGTTTTAGGACATCCCCTAAAACATCCAGTTTTAGTGGAAAAAAAATTAAGGTAATTCTTTCCTATGGGGAAGTCCTAATGCTCGCACGGCACTCGCTTTAGGTCCCCCTCATCAACAAGGGGATAATGGGGAGGGCAAGAGAAGTATGTTAGTGTTGCAGTGTTAGGAATACATCTTTGTATTCCTAACACTAAGGTGTACCTTTAATTTTACAGATGTGTTAACAAAGGGCTTTAAATATAATTTAAATATAATTTTGAGTCCCTGTTTCTACCTCTTGTTTACCTTTGTTGAGCTGTGACTGTGTATGACTTCAGACAATTATAGTGGCATACGGAAAACATAATTATTTATTTATAGAATATTTTACCTGGAGGGATGCATTGAGATTTCCTAGGTCCACAAAACATTTCATTGTTACAATGGTGTACAATAAAATACAAAAACAATATTAACACACAACATATATACTAAATTTAATATAAATATATAATGCCATTGCATAATTTAAAAAATATATCCTGTAAAATGGTATAATTTGCTCATGGTTAGCATGGTAGAACACAGCTTTAGCCTCTATTATGCTCTTATTATTATATTTGTCTTATTTATTATTAATTCATCATTATAGTACTGCATTTATTGAAAATAGTATAATGTCTGATTCTCATGGGTACACTAAAGCAGAGAAGAATAAAAAAATAATAAAGTAAAAAACAATGAAATATAAACTCTCTAATACATAAAATAACCTAATAGAAAAAAGGTAAAATTACAGGTTTGACCCAACATTGAGATCACTTGTATTTTTATCAAATGGGTAGCACTTACTATTGCCACCCTTGGCAATACATAATAATGCACATCCACCGTTCGACAAACTAAGCACTGAATCAAGAACTGCCTCTCTACAATATTATTCATGTTTGACAACGAAGTCCAGCTTTTATTTTTTTAATGTAAGCTTTGCAAAGCTAAAAAGATCATAGCCCTACCACAAAAATGTAAGCAATGCCAAGTGTGGATATTCATAAATCACTGCTATGAGATGCTGAAAATAACTTTCTGAGACTAGTTTTGTGTAACATATTTATAACAAATTATATTTGACAGTTTAATCTGCCCATATTAGGCACTTCAAAAGTTATAGTTTATCATCAAATTATTCATGCGTTTTGTCATTTCTATAAATAATACCCTCTTTGGACCTCCAACATACTTGCCTTGCGTACTGAATGTAGGGCAAAGAGTTGCTCAAAGTTGCAAGTAAGATATTCTCATACTAAATAGAATGATTAGAAAATATATTTTCATCTTCTGAATTATCAAACTGGTGCTGTAGAAAAGGTTTGGATATGTTAAAATTAGGACAAATTGGCTACACAAAACTTATAGAAACTAGAAACTGTGGATGCATTATTTTACTACACATGGAGCCACTCTTTAAATTAATCAAAGAACTCCTATGTGTAATAATATTATGTTTGGAAATAAAAATGTTGAAAATTCTGTTAAATATGTTTGTAATTATTGAGTACCCTGGAGAATTTAACCAAGAGATAAATGGACACATTTTTATTGTAAAAGGACTCAAAGTTATTTGATCAAGACCAATCAGAACCTAGAACATCATACATACATTTCACATAATTAAAGAGAAGCATGAATTACATCTTTAATAATGGTCAAAGTGTCTAATATTAAGATCAGTCCGGTTTAAAAAAATTGAAACAACAGAATTAAAAAGAAAACATGGTTCACACATAATATAAAATCCCATGTTAGTTCATTATTAAGTGAAACTTAGACCATTTAATAAAAATTTGAAAATCAACGCGTGATAAACTTTTTTTCATGGCATGATCCATTTTCAAAATTTTTTTTTAGATGAAACATTTATGAAAATTACATCACAATCGACTTCTGGCAAAGTAAAACCAGGACAAACATTGCAAATGAGAAGAACATTGAGAACGTTGTTTAATTTATTCTCTTTTCTATATGCTTTCCCTGTGCTGATTGCTATGTGCAAAAGACAGAGTTTATAACAATAATTGACAGGGAGCAAAATTTTTCTACATTTAATTTTATTTTTTACACTGCACAAGGGACATGACCGACAGATTAACTGATATGGATATCTCTTTGTGGGAAGCCGCAAAAGACACTAGAAAGAGTCACTAAAGTCACAATATTATGCATGTTGGCAGCCAGAGAAGCACCTACCCCACCAGATGACACTATGGGGAAAAGAAATATGAAGCACCCTGTTTACAGGATATTGGGCTGCGTGAATCCTCTGATGCTTCTCAGGAGGAAAGAGAACCTCTTACCTTGCCGCAATCTGGAAGTGTATACAACTCGTCGGAGTTGGATGAAGACTTGTCCCCATAAGGAGATATCAAAAATCTCCTGACAGACCTACAGAAGGTCTGGAAGGCAGATCTGCAAGAGGTTCAGGCAGAGATGGGGGTGATAAACAAAAAAGTGAGAGTGGTGGAGGTGAAGTAGGCTTCGAGAGATGGCAAACTGAAGGAGGCCAAGTACCAAATAGAGGGCTTACCTCTCAAATGCAGAGAATGAGCCGGATAGTGAATTTCTGGAGCTGCGTCACAGATGAAAGTGAGAGGCTTTTACAGTTCACAAAATCTAATTACCACAATGGGCATCAAGCGTGTTTCCAGCCCCCCACAGATTACCTCAGTGCTTAGGGTGAGCAAGTCAGCTGCAGCACCTGATGGAGCTCCCAGGGACACCATTGCCATAATGAAAGATGATTCGGTGAGAAACACAATCATAAATCACTCCAGATCATTAGGAAATATTTCCTTTCAGAGTGGCACGGTGGCAGTATATGGAGACATTCCGTTTTCTGCATTAGTGGAAAAGAGGAAGCTGGCACCAATAGCCAGGAGATTAAGAGACTGCTCAATAAAATACAGGTGGGGAACAGAGGTCTCCATTCAAGCCGCTCATGGAGATGGTATTCTTACCCTCTCCTTGGCGGATGATTCAGAGGCATTCCTGGGGAACCTGGGACCTCCACCAGGCTGCAAAAGGGGGTGGGGGGGAACAGGGGACTATACCATACAAATGCTAGATGCATTACCTAAGCTAGACATTAATGGAAATGTTGAAGTGGCTAAAAAATACAAAAGAAGAAACGATAGGACAAAAAAGTAAGAGAAAAATCAGAAAGGAAAGGAATCGGGAAAAGAAAAAAATAGACCGGTTTCATTATATTTTTTATTTACTCACATTTAGTATTCATTCATGATATACATTATCTAGTAGACTTGTGCACAGCAAAAAAAATAGTTTTGGCCAAACAGCATCGTCGAAAAAATAAAATGAAAAAGTATGGGTGGCTGAATTCCATGCGTGTGGTGGTTCTGCTTGTCACAACTCTGGAAAACAAACCAGACAAACTAAAAGGGCACAATAATGGATCAATCAGTGAACTGCATTGTGTATTTATATATTAAATATATAAAGATAGATTTATTTATTTTTTTAAACTGATCCTCCTATTGGTCAGTTAGTAGTTCCTATTGGTCAGTTAGTGGCTGTCCCCTAGATATCAATAACCTTTTTTCCCATCAATCATCTCTTTTCTTCGTGACACAGTCGGAAATACCAATCATGAATAAAACAAACATAGTGTGTTCATTGCATGAGCTGTTTCTTTTGTGTTTAGTCAAATGAATTAGAGTTCGTAACGAAACAAATCTTGCTTATTATCTAGTGTTCTCACTGTCTTGTAGCCTTTTCTGTTTCCGGTCAGCCGTTCTGTTACCCCAACCATTTTGTAAATCCATTCTTCATGTTACTATTTTCACTACTCCTCCTACCTATCTTTTCTGCCATTTTATTACCTCATTTGTCTCTCTGATATGAACATTTTTGATTTACTAGCCCCATGTTGTCAGACCTTCCTCTAACCTCTGGTATGTCCTATTTACATCAACTGTCACCTTTTTCTCCCTCGCTATGGTAGCCACCATTCTTCATTAATTAATACATCTGTCCATCTGCGGTTTCCCTTGTCTCTACATCTTGTGACTTGCTTTCATCTTGCTGACCTTTGTTCCAGTAGCCATTCAAAACTGGAAGAGGAGCCATCTCTCAATCTTTCTACATGCCCCATGACAGCTCTATAGTCCTAGGTCCGGCAACCTCAGCACTAATATCTGAAATTATGCATATAGACTTGTTTTGAGAGCAAGTGAATTAAGTGGCTCATTAAAAATTAACAAAATACTTACAAAAAAAACACACAATTTTGGGGTGGATTGGACTTATGACATTGAGCTTGGAGCTCCTTCAACGTCGATGTTATCCATCAACATTTATTAATCCATTGATATGCATGGCAGAAACCCAGAAGTAATTCATTCAGATAATTACTACATTTAATCTATCATTTTCTTTATCAGTAACATTTTTATAACTTGCCTGTATGTGACCTTACCCATCCATCTGAGGAAGACAAATCATGATGAATTTCCAGAGATTTTGGATCCTTTCTTATAAATATATTACTTTTCAATCACTTTAAACTCTTTATTACAAACATATATCACCTGCCATTTATTCATCTAAAAAAATACAACAGTTTTTTTTATTTTGTGTGAAAACTCAAGAGATTTTTTTTTTATCTCCTATGTCTAAGATAAACAGCTCACAGTGAGTTTTAATCTGACCAGAGTCTGTGAATACCTTATAGTGATTCTATTATTGAAAAGCACAAGTCCATGGAGATAACAGTATATTTATACCTATGCAAGGCTATTCGCCTTAGTGATGTACTTGTCATCATCATAAATATAAATCTCTGATCTAATACTTTATATGAGACCTGGATATGCTGCATGTTGGTTTTTAGACAAATTGCACGTTCAAAAATAGCACCTTTCATTCTAAAAATACAGAATGTGAATCTTAAAAAGGGATATTTTTCTCTTCTAAGAGGAAGTTAAAGATTTGCCTGTAAGTTTATGTGCGATCTTAATAGACTTCCCACAAATTCACAATGCATATGCATAAAAGCATAGAAATTGAGATTTCTGTCCTTATTCTATTCTGTCCCCCACCACAAGCCCCCTTCATCTTACCTCTTTGCATCTTACCGATCCTTGTCCTCTCTTCTTGTTCATTTTATTATCATGATAATAGGTTTGTCTTGCTTTTGTGTCTTTCCTACTCAGTTTAAACACAGTACAGATAACCCCTTCTAAAAAAAAGTCTACACTTGACGCAAATTCTCTAATTACCATTTTAAAGGAACACTCCAGGCACCATAACCACTGCATCTCAGTGTAGTGGTTATGGTGCCAGGAGTGCCCTTCCACAGTAAGTAGTGAAACTGTGTAAGAATGATTTGACAATTTACCTGGGGTCCACTTATGCTCTTAGTCAATGAGTCAGTCCTACATGCACAGCCTAACTTATGGCTTCAGAGGATCCTGGGTAAGTTCTTAAATGCTTTGAATTCTTACTGTGGGATGGTGCCACGGTACTGCTGGCAACATAATAACCAGGATAGCGAGCTGCTGTGGTCCTGGTGCTTGGTGTTAAATTCTTTTACACCTTTTATTTATAAAGCTTCTCTACAGTGTCTTCTGTTCTGGCCTTTTCATGCTACCTCTTCATTATGGCTGTTATCACAGCTCAATCCTTGATTTCTTATCTTTCTCACAAGACACGACCAGGGTGATCTGATTAGTTCCTTTGGATTTTAGTATCACTTTTATGGTGAGGACAACCACATTCCCTGGACTCTCACATTCCCTTAAACACTGTCATTAAATAAGTGTCCTCCATTTCTGCCTGGTTGACTGCATGTTCTCTGAAATTCAACAATTCATTGTTTTTACTTTGTCAGAATCCTTTCAGGTCAATAGTGCTACCATTGACTATGACCTAAATAGCGGTTACGTTAGGGTCCTTTTGGATGCTAACCCCACTTTTACTCCCATCACCTAGTCAACATACAAATCCTGCCATGTTCATCCTAAACATGCTGCTCATATGTGTTATGTCCCAAAGTGTGCGCTTGTTCTTAAATAGTGAATGCAATGCTGCGAGTGTCTACTCACTAAATTATACACACAGGGATGAGGTCTCAAATCCAGAAGCAGAGTATTACTTACTGTATACAGGATGAGTCAACACAAGGCTTTCTTACTATACACATTATGAAGCTTCCTAACCTATTATTTCAGTATCTTCACAAGTTGGCTGAATTCCGTTAACCAACAAGATGGTTGCTGTTTCCAGATGACCAGTACATCCTCCTTCTCCGAGCAGCAGGAAAAAAAGGGTAGGGGCATAATGCCACCCCCGACCTGGGAAAACTCTGCGAAAGGCATTGAGTCTGTCTAAACATCACACTATGCAATCCTTCCTAATACAATGTACACAGTAAATGTTTGTCCACTCACTGATTACCACGCACCTTGACACCTCTAACCTGCTTCTCATTGGTCTCAAGCCTCCTTGCAATCCATTGTTATGCTGTTGCCAGACATATTTTCCTGACCTCCCTCTATTCTCACATCTCACTCCTATGTAAGACATTGCACAATATCTTTACAAATTTTAAAGAGATACTTTAGGCATCAAAACAACTTTAGCTTAATGAAGCAGTGTATAGATCATTCCCCGAGCATTCCCCGTCCCTTTTAAGGTTAAATTTAAAATCATATTTATTACTTATAAAGTTCTCTATAACCGTGTCCAATATACATATCATCACTAAAAAAAAGTATGCCCCATCATGGCCACACCCCTATGTCAAAGACTGGCACCATTCCTCTGTTACATCTGCATCGCCAACACTCATTTTCAACACTTCTCTAGAGTCACACCATTGTTGTTGAATTCCTTTCCTGGACTTAGGCAGATCCAGCCTATATTCTGAGCAGGTGTTTTGGCACACAATCCCACAGTGTATGCTGTTCCTGCTAACATCTTACATCCAGCTACTATGTGTTGGGTTGTCTCAGAGGCCTCATTGCACAGTCTGCACCTTGGTTCTTCCCTGGTGTGGTAGACTCCTGCTTCTATTGATATGGTTCTGAGTGCCTGTTCCTGTGCTGCTAGGATTAATGACTCAGTACTGTCTTTCAGTCCTGCCTTTTTCAACACTAGTAGGATTCTGACATGTAAGCCACATCCACCATCTGCTGGTGGTACACCCCATGTAGAGGTTTCTTGCCATGGAGCCTCCTTCTTTTTTGCATTCCCATAGCAGTTTATCTTTGGGAGCCATCTTCATAATGTACTTGTGAATGCTCTGGGTTTCATCCAGGACTGTAGCCTTTACACTCATCAAGCCCCGACCTGCTTCTTTCCGACTTCCTTGCAGTCTCTGGGTGCTGGATTTTGGGTAGAATCTTCCATCATAGTGAGTAGTTTCTGGGTCTTGATATCCATGATGATCAGCTCTTCTCTTGGCCAGGTTACTATTCCATCTGAGTACCTGAAGGCATATGTATCGATGGTTTCAATCTTGCCATTGAGCTGAGACTTCAGGACCTGTCTGACTCTCTGTGGTTACTTGCATGTTGCTATCCATCTTGACTCTTCCTCATGGTTGCCATGTGTTTGTGGTACCCCTAGGAACTTGTAGCTGTTCTCTACATCTTCTACCTGGCCTTCTTGTACTTGAACTCCTTCTGTCCTGATCATCTTCCCTCTTTTTCATATCATCCGTCCACATCTAGTCCGAATAAATGCACACAGTCATATACATGGTCATTTAACCATGCATGCACACTGCCACATATACTGTAATTTAACAATGCCTGCACACTATCATTTACCAATACAACATGGGACAAGGGGAACAGGGTGGCTAAGTGACAAAGTGTAAGAGGGACAGTGACAACAGACAAGGGGATAAGGGTTTAGGGGGACCAAATGACAGGAGAGCTAAGAATTCAGAATGGAAAAGAGTGAAAGGGGCAACAGGATAGGGGTATATGGGATTAAGGAGACACAGGAGAAAGGATAACTAGGGTTACAGGGGGTTAGACAGACAGAGTGACAGGGGGTTAGAGCCTTTAACCTCTTGTCACTCAGTTGTCTTAGCTCTGTGTCACTCTGTCAACCTAATGCTTTGAGGGGAGGGCAAGGAGTCATATTTACATTGTCCCTCTTTTTAAAGCCTCGCTAGTCTTTGGTAGCTGTATTAAGGCTGTTGTTTGAAGAGGGAAGCTGTCTGGAGAACTTGGGAACTGCACAGTGAAACTATGGCTAAGAATTCTACGCAGAGGTTTGCCAGGGAGTCTCGGAGGAAGCTGGCAGTTGTGCCTTTCTGACGTCTTTGAAGGGGCCCTCCAACTCGGCTGCATGTTGGAGACCAACTAGGGATTCGTACAGTCAGACTCCATGGTTGGAGGAATCATAGACCGCAATGGCAGGTTTATTGTGTGCACGAGATAATCATATTGTGCCCATGACCTACATATCTTGTGTGTACGCATTTAGTATTTTGTGAGCACAATCTAGTAAATGATGCCCATGAGATAGCACAACATGCACACAATTTAAAAAATAAATAGAAATTCATGCCACCTGTGGGGCTCTGTATAATAGTGAGTAAACAAAATTTAAAAAAAATCTAAATTAAACCAATTTATAACCACCATCTGCCTACAAAACAGCATTAATTATTTTGGGTACACAGTATTGTAAGAAGCTCAGCAGGTGGGGTCCATACCATTGCTTCCAAGACCCCTTGTTCTTCTTTACACTGCCTATCCTTTTTAGCATTAAGGAGACCATTTATTCTGACTAAATACCCAAATTTTTTTGCAGAAATACAGCCCCATACTTGCAATGAACCTCCACCATGCTTTGCTGTTGCCTGCAGACATTCAGTCTTGTGCCACTCTCCAGCCTTTTAAAAGAAGCTATCTATAGCCATATAATTACAATTTTCATCAGGCCAGAGCAACTGCTGCAGTTTTTATAAAATAAGTATTGAATACATTAAATAGACATTGCAATTTCTTTTGTTGTGTATCTCATTTAATTTCAGGAGGAAATATATTACAATATGTTCCACTTTACTGTTGTCAACTCCAGCACTGGACCTTACACTGGACCTTAATTTGTAGAGAAATTAATTTCTTACCCATAGTTCTGTTCAGTCACTCGGACGTACTATGAATGGACAAATTAAAGGGACACTATAGGCACCCAGAGCAGTTCATCTCATTGAAGTGGTCTGGGTGTAGTATCCCTGTTCCCTTAATCATGCATTGTAAAACATTGCAGTTTTAGAGAAATGTTAAGACAGCCTCTAGTGGTCATCTACCAGACAGCCACTATAGGCGCTTCCTGCAGTTCCATGAAGTTTGACTCCGTGAAACCACGCCTGATGTCCTCACTTTCATCGTCAATCAAAACCCCAAAGGAAAGAATTTAGTCAGTTATAGTGATGGGAATACACCTTTGTATTCCTAACACTAAAGTGTTCCTTTAACACATATGTCCAGGCTACAATAAAAGAATGCAATTGACAAATAACATCAATGTTTTAACTAAGCTGACACTTCAGATGTCTGCCACCCCAAAAATGCTAATACAGGATTACTTAGAAATACCAATAAGCAAGGTCATTTAATATTTGTTTTATTTAACATGTATAAATATGCTAAATGGGTTTTGGTGAACGTTTTGAATTATCACTTTAGTAAATAGTCCTGAAATTGTCGTTTTTGTCCTAATTGCATGCGCCCAAGTTTCAAATAATAGTTTTTTTAATAAAAATTATTTGGCAGTGAGGCAGTTAAGAACTACCGAACATATAGTTATTTCTTGATGACAGGAAACTAGGAACAGATATTTTTTCTATTTGGAAAAGTAAAATAAAAAGCAATCTATCACTGTGTACTTGTAATAATAAACAGATTCATATTCTGTTCTTAACATGCTTTGAACTAAAAGCTAACTTTGTTGGCAAATAGAAAAACTCTGATAACCTGCCTGATGTCTGTCCAAGTGGACTATGTCATCTCCAACTGATTGGAGCAACAGACATTTCTGCTGAGTGGAGTCAGTCTATCTTTGCCAGTTAGCTGGAATAGATACAGACGGTGATTGGGTCATGCAGAATACATTCTTGCCCTGTGAAGTAAGTCTGTTTGTATTTTAGGTTTGCCAGGACTAATGAATTAAAAGCCTTGACCTCTTCTGGTTTGTCACTTTTTAAAGCCTCTGACAAGAGGGTTTTTCCCCTGAAGCATGACAACATACTAAAAGTTCAGTGCGAAGGAATGAAACTAAACGTTGCATAGAGGAGAGAAGCAACGAGCGGAGGTCCTTTGGGAAAGCAAAGCCATTTAGACATTCAGGTAGCCCACATGCTGCACTAGCAGCTGTCCGAGTCTTTCATTGCCTGTCAGTCTGTTACTATGCAGCAGGTGCAGACTTTTCTGCTATTGACTTTTTACTCCATAAAGACGAAGACCAGCCAAGTCAGTGACTGACGCAGGATTACTCAAGTGCAGACACACTCATCTGAGTGAGGTAAGAGAACAGGTGTGGAAACAGGAGGACTACGCAAATGAAGCCGTAACAAGCCTTAATCTCCTTTCTGATACAAATGTTTGCAAATGTAAACCACTGTCAGCATTGGAGACAGTTGTTCTAGCAAGGGGTCGTATGCTAAACTCACACCATATGGTCAGCATATGGACACTGTAGCTATGTACTAAGCAGCATGCCTAGAGTGAGTGTTAACCAGAGGGATGAGTTTCTGGCACAGGCTGTTGGAGATATGGGTTGTAGGAAGGAAAACGACAGTTGTAATCTAATGAGCATGTTTATTTTACATTGTTCTCTCCCATCCAGTGCATACAAATAAGGGTCATTTAGATACTACATTTTACTTATTAAAGTGTGTTCTTCAGGCTTGGAGTGGAATTAAGTGAGAAAATTGTGTGTCTGCAAAATGTAGGGGGAAATGCATTTGAGTAGTTCTTGTTCTATCAGGATAATGAATTAAACTGCACGTGACTCTGACCTCGTGCTGTGTTTCATGTCTGCTTAAAATAAAGGAAGAAGAAGATGTTATAAACAATATTACTATTGTTTCCAAGTATATTTTAGAACTGACAGTAGCGCTTTCAATGTTATTCACTAGACTTTAATCTGAATGGCAACATTTAGGCAACAAACACTGCTCGGGAAAAATTCTCCAACTGAGCTCTAGTCACAACTTGGCTATTTTAGCCTCAGTTTTACAATTTGTGTTTAATTTGTTTAATTCAGAGTTTAGTGAGTTATCCTGGTAGATGTTTGTGTGTTTTGTTGAACTATTTTGGCTGTCGATATGGAATAGCTGATTAGAGTTTCAAACTAAGGAGAGTTGACATGAAGATTGCAAATGTTTCCAATATATGTATTTTGGCCTAATGTTTGCATATGCCTTGCTTACAGAATAAACCTCAAAAGGTGAGCCATTTAAATGGTTAATAAACCTTGCATAAGTTAATGTACAGGGTAAGCAGCAAAACAACTTTAGCTTAAACAGTTTTGGTGTATAGATCACGTCTCTGCAGTCTCATTGATCAGTTCTCTGCCATCACTTTGTTTATAAAGCCCTAACCACACCTCACCATTTGGCTGTGATTCATACAGACTCCAGGTAAAAATTGTTTCATTTTACGGCAGAGTGTGTTTACCTTAGACATTTTTATTTCCTGCTTTTTTAGAGCACCACTGTCACTTTCTGGGATCTTTGTATATTTCCCAAAGACCTTAGATGGTGACATCATCACTTGGTGTTCGATGGCCCAGAAAGATAGGTTTTATTTACGTGAAACTCTCCACCTCACCCAACAACAAATCCATCCGGGGATCCTCTTTAGTTATAAGTGCTTGTCTACCAGGAGCCTACATCAGTGCACTGATGTCTATATGGAGGATCCCACGAAATCGCAGGTGCCTCCATAGACAATGCTTTTTTTCTCACAACTGTCACCAGAGACAGCTTGGGGAATAGACAAAACTTGATGGTGGTAGCTTTTCCCAAGTTTTCTCAAGAGGAGGGAAAATACATAAGCCCAAGTAGTCTTTGGTTATATCTGCATTAAAAAAATGTTTGGAGGAGGAGGGGTCACAGAACCACTTTAATCTGACAAGGGAGGCTGCTGCAGCCTCTGTCAGACAACTAATAGAGCAGGAGATGTAAGGAGACGGTGTCAGTCTCAGCCAATGAAGGTGTAGCTAGGCAACACATATAAAGAAAGTGCTCACTCCTAAATGGCAGAGAACAAAGCAGTGACCTACATGGGCATGATTTGTACACCAAAACTGCTTTATTGTCCTAAAATTTCATATTTTAGGCCAATGTAGCCAAATTAGAAGTGTAGCTGACTTAGAGAATCCTTCCAATATTGCTATTAGGCCTTACATTTTAACTTCACATTGAATTCTTGTAAGGATACATCCCCTTGTGCTATAGCACTCACCTGGTGCCCCTACCTAGCCCAGTAGGCATCAGATCAGTTTCACACCCTTAGACACCTTTTTCAGCATTTCTGATTCCAGATGCTGTAGCCACGTCCCTTTGACATCATTAAGCCACCCACATTCCATGACATCATCACATCATTGTGGACACCCAATCACATTTTAGGGGTGGGGCTATACATGCCCCAGATATATAAATACTTGCAGTGGTTTCCAGTTTGGTCATCTGAGAACATGTTTTTTCTATACTCTGATTACTGGTTATTGATCTTGGCTTGTCTCGACTACCTCTGATCTCTATATCCCTGACCTCGGCTTGTTTATAGATTTAGTGTATCTCTTTTGCCCATTACCTGTTATTTTACATTTCTAACCCTTAGCACATTAAGCCTAGCCTTCTAATACGTACTGCTATCTACTGTTTGTCCTGTACTTGTGTGACCTTATTCTGCATGTTTGGTTACCTATCCTGACAATTCTCACTTTAGGGAAAAACTCAGAAAGACTCCAATGAAAAAGGTTTAAGTTTCAATAAGATCATACAGCACATTGTGTTTACTTTAGAAGTTCTTAACTCATGCTTTATTAATTGAACATTAAACACCAGATTTCCCATTAGACAGAGTAGGCACCAAAGTACACATCCATTAGAAAACGGTTTCATTTGTGGCTTTCTTTATTTTTGATGGTGCATAGCTTGACAGGAATAAGGAGACATTTTGGAGGAGTACAATACACGATGCATAGTCACATTATTAACAAGAAATATCTAATTACTGCACTTTTTTGTAAGTAAAGAAAATCAAGAGAGGAAGCATGTCAGTAAAAAAGTAATATGAAAAATACTATACTGCTGAGTACACTAACTGACATTATGATTGACGTTAGATACCATTGGGTTAAAGAGAACATTAGAAAGAGAGAATAACATATAAAAGCTCTAAACATAAATGGTACAAAGAACTCTAGAGGTTGAGGCTTGAGGCTTCCATCATTCTGTATGCCCAGACAACTCCATTTGGGATCTCAGGCCCAGCCAGGATTGTTTTACATCTCCTACATCACCAATCTGCATTGAGTCATCTGAGTGTTGCACTGCGTGACATGAGTTAGTCCACTTTGCCATGGTTCTCAGTTACAGTAGCTCCAGGTTTTAGAGGGGGTCTGTGCCCCCATGTCAATGGATCCACCATCTTAAGGTTAGCAAAATTGTGTGCCCTTGAGGCCCTCAGGACAAGGACACCACCGTAGGTGTATGGACGGCTGCCCAGCTGTCTCACCAGGTGAGCCCCCTGCCAGGAAGAGGAACAGGAGATGGGGCAGGTTGCTTTGGGTATTGCAGGATTAAGAAGGGTAAGTACCTTGTGTCGGGCACTGAGTCGCTTTCAGAACTCCTGGCAGAGAGCATTAAATCTGGTGCTGAAGAATTGACTCCAATCTTTAACCTTGGGGCCCTCTCGGTAGGGTTGAAGTTCCAACACGGCAGCCATCTTGGACTAGCAACGGGGTATCCTGGCGCCTATAAAGGAGATTACTGCCTCAGTAGCCATTTTAACCCCTAGTGGGGTCTGGGATATTCCCCCGGTCCAAAGGGGGGTGAACAGGGCTGCACGAGAGTTGCTGCCAAATTGCCTTCAGAGATCAGCCGCCTCTAATCCGCTGTCAAGCGCCAGACCTGTGATACCGGAGGTAAGCTGTGCTTCAGTGAACCCCCGTAGGAGCAGACCAAGTGTTAGGGATAAGGGGTAATTTTATCACAATGAATGCTTCCAGATGCTGAAGATACTCATCAACATGTCCAGCTATGTTGGGAGTCAAGACCCGTCCCCAAAATGGCTTACTTTTTACAGCACAATGTGTTCACTTTAGGCACTCTTCTCTTCAACTTTGTTAAAGTGCCTCTGTCACCTTCTGGGGCCTTTGGATATTTTGCAAAGTTTCCCAACAGTGACATTGCTTGGTGAGCAATGGTCTGGGGGTGTAGGTTTTACTTATCTGAAACTGACCCTCAAGGCCTGTAGGGAGCACATTTCCAGCACTTATAAAGTTATTTTATGGAGATTAAGTGGGCTGGTGGGGAGAGATAGGTACCAGGAGTCATGGCCAGGACCCTCTGTAGTCCAATCAGCCTCCTGTGCTTGATTGTTAGGTTGCAGTAGCTGTTATTCAAAGTGCATAAACAAATTGCTTCATACACCAAAACTGCTTTATTAATGGGACACTATAGATGCTGACTGGCACCACGCTGCATTAAGCTGTAATTGTTTTGGTGACTATAGTGTTTTTTTTTAGCTAAAGATTTTTTGGTGTTTAGTGTCCCTTACAATGAAGCTGACCTTAATTGTCTGGCACAAAACCAGAATGATATTTAGATTATCTAAACAGGGAGGTCTATTTTATGGCAGAAACTCTTTCAAGACTACAACACGTTTCTTATAAAGGGAAACTATAGTGCCAGGAAAACAAACTTGTTTGTCATGGCCCCCCCTCCCGTGGTGCAGAAGGGGTTAATGTCCTCTTCTGTCACTTACCTGGGTCCAGAGCCAATGTCCTTCGGCGCTAGCTCGGGTGTGCCTTCACTCCTCTGATGTCGGCCGGGAAGACCTAATGTGCATGCGCGGCAATGGCCACGCTCGCATTAGGATTTCCTCATACGAAAGCGTTATTCAATGCTTTCCTATGGGGATTCCAGTGACGCTATGCATGAGGACGTCCAGCATCATTTAGGTGACTAAAAGTCTCCTTCGAGCCCCTAGACAGCCACTAGAGGAGGATTTAACCCTTGCAGGTAATTAACGCAGCTTATGAAAAAACTGCAATAATTACATGCTCAGGGTTAAGGGTGATGGGACACTGCACCTAGAACACTTTAATGAGCTGAAGTGGTCTGGGTGCGTACAGTGTCAATTTAAAGTTCCTTGAAGTCTGCACTCTGTAAGAGCCCATGACAACACAGGCTTTATCATCACTTTGTTATTTTGATCATGGCTGCTGAGTATATATTTCCAGGTTTCTGAAAGTGCAGTTGAGAATGTATGAATTAACCATAGTTAAATGGGAGCAATGCAGGGTCATTGCCTCTTCCAATGAGTTTTTCAGGGTTGTGTAAGACACAGGCTTCCACTGAATTATGGGTTGTTGTCTAACTCTGGTACACCCCTGTACATTGAGAAGGGTTTGGCTATATGGAGTAGGATGGAAAAGGAATGAGCAGTAATAAATAAGAATATTTGTAGAAATATAATAAAGAACATTCAGGGTGGATCAGTGCCTTTAAAAAGGTAAAAAAGAACTGTTACATCTGAGACATTTACCTAACTTGATTGTTGACTAAAAGCGAGGTATAGGTTCAGCATTTTATATATCAAAAATAGAGATGTTTTTTATTTTATAATCTACAGTGAATGCCTGACTATGCTGGCACAGCCAGTCCAGGCCATATAATGCAAATTAATGTAAAAGGACACTCTAGGCACCAAAAAAACCTTTAACTTAATGAAGTTGTTATGGTGTCAGGAGGCCCCCAGAGGCACTCTTACCTCAATGGGATAACTGTTCTTGAACGGTGATGACCACTCCTCACCTAGCAGCATCCGGCTTCTGAATTTTCAGATACAGGAAGCGCGTAGTGTCGCCGGACAGGACTGCCGCTGATTGACTGAGAGTGGTCAGCTGACGCTCACAGCAAACCAGTGATGTCCTATTCACAAAACTGGCTTACAAAGTAAGGTACCTTTACAAGCTATATTTTTCTTTTAGGGTGGGAGGCCCAGTGAGCAGAATTTTGTAGGTGCCTATGACGGCCTATAAAACAAAAGGTTGTTGTGGTAGAGGATCCAATCATCAAATCTTTGTGATAGTAGGGCGAACCCAACAAACAGCATTTTAAAGTTGGTATTGGTCCCATTGAGCAAAATACTGTGGTGTGTATTGTGAGGACTCCCTAAAAATTGTTATAGGGGAAGGCAAAATGAACACAATTTTACCCCACATATTGATATAATAATTCCCTCTCTGGCTACACTTACAAGGTGGTTGCAACTGAACACTTCACAAAGTTTTTCTTTTTACTCCGGATATTTAAATTCTTATACATCATTTGTGCATAGCATTAAAACTGTGAGGTTGCTACATATGTCACAGACTCACAGTCAAAATGACAAATAGTACATTTGAGAAAGGAACATTGCATCGCTACGGGATACTTTAACGCAGCAGCATTTCCATGTGATTTTCTATTTAGAGCGTCAAATAATTAATTCCATAAATACCATTTGAAATGTCATCCTGATATAAAACATATTGGGGAGATGTATAAATAACAATGCTATTTCTAACTCTAAATTTGAGCCCCCATCATTTTATTCTGGGCTGTAAGCTTGATAATATGTTTAAGGATGTCTCAAGGACTACACCTGTCATATTTTTTTTCTTCATTTCCAAATATGTATTTTATAGGTGTTTTGTTGGAGAACAGGGGCAGCTGAGATCTGGAAGGACACATAATTGAGGTCCCCATGATTACCACAGCAAGGATACCTGCTGATAAACCCGTTCGAATTTCCTTCAGTCTTAATGACTCTACAGGTACAGTTTTCCCATATTTTTCTCAAAAGATACAGAAAGTACTTATTGTTGTATATATCTACATTCCTGTGATTAATGTTCATTGCAGATACCTTTTGCCCACCACAACTTAATCCATAACTAATTAGTAATATAAGTTAAAAAATGGACTCAGGGCCCTTAACTTCAGTCTTTCAGTTTCCTGTTTGTGCTGTTGATAGAAACCAATGCATAAAAACTCAATTTGAATTAAAAAACCTTAATGACTCCAAAAAGGCAAGCAATATACTTATTGGATCCATTAATTATGAAATTGACGACCACCATTGAAAATCACCTTTAACCTATACTAACCTTGGACGTTAATGAGGACGTTAAATAGAAACTTCTTATATTGAGGGAATCTAAAATGACTGCCATGCAGAGAATTCTAATAGGATTTGGGTGTGTCAATGTAATATCCATACCTCTAAACCATAACGATTTCAGTGGAACAGTCAGGATTTTCAGGTCCTGTCCAGATATTTTAAGGATAGCTATTGAATTTGTTAAAAAAAACAAAAAAAAAACTTATTATCCATTATCGTTAATATTCACAGTGCAAAGAAAGGTTTCCTCAGCTGTACATGAAAATCTTCTATGTCAAGTTCTCAATAGGTGGAATATTTGTACAATCTTTTTAAGAAAAGTAGATTGTAAAGCTAGCGTACTGCAGACCGAATTTACCTTTCAAGTGCATTTGGCTGCAAATCTTGCTAATGCTTTCACATATTTCAGATGAGAAAATAATGTTGATCAATCTGGGACCTTTTTCCCTCTTAAATAATACATAAATTATTTATTTATTTATTTATCAAATATTTTACCAGGAAAGATACATTGAGATTTCTCTCGTTTTCAAGTATGTCCTGGGCCCACAAATCATTGCATTGTTACATTAGGGTACAACAAAATACAAAAACAATATTAATACACAATATATACAAAATTTAACATAGAACAGGCAGGAAATATATAATCAACCATGACACATGCATTCTGTTTTGAGGCATAAATACTTAAATTAACAAATGACAAATATTTAAAAAACAAAAAAACTAAACATAAATAATTTTACATTCATGTATTTGCTGCAAATGCCTTGGATTTGCATCATCTGTAGTTAACTCTTCTACCACTTGGAAGTTGATGATAACATTCAACCTGATCTAGTGCTTCCATAATAATGTATGTGAGCACTGAGCAGAGATCTATCAGATATCTGGTACAACTGTTGGCAGAGGTAATAGATTATAGGAGGTTATCAATAGTTTATTTTTATGGTTTTTGTTTTTCATGAAACATTATGAGAGATTGTTAGACAAAATTGGATCTTTTTGCCATTCAGGCACATCTCACAGCATTAAGTGCTTGTTAAAATGAGATAAATATGATTGCTATTTTGGAGTTAAAAGGATCCTATAGTGCCAGGAAAACAATCCGTTTTCCTGGCACTACAGGTTTAATAGGTCACCCCCCCAACCTCGTGCCCCCCTCCCACGGGGCTGAAGGGGTTAAAATCCCTTCAGCCACTTACCACATCCAGTGCCGATGTCCCCCCGCACTAGGTCAGGCTCCGGCCATGCTTTTCGTCAGCCGGCGGGAGCCGACGGGGAGATGTAACGCGCATGCGCGGCAGCGGCAACAGCCACGTGCGCATTAGATTTCACAATAGGAAAGCATTGAATAAAGCTTTCCTATGCATTGTGTGGGGACGTCCAGCGTCAAATAACGGACCAAAAGTCCGCTTGGAATCCGGAAGTGCCCCCAGTGGCTGTCTGGTAGACAGCCTCAGAGGGCAGACTTAGATCTGCAATGTAAACACAAACTGTTTTACATTGCAGCACTAAGTGCGAAAGGGTCACATTACCCAGACCACTTCAATTAGCTGAAGGGGTCAGGGTACCTACAGTGTCCCTTTAAGAAGGATTTTTTTTTTCTTAACTTGTGGAAATCAGTTTAGACCTTTTGGATCAGTAGCAGCAATACAGATGTATGAAATACTGGATTTGATGCATTTTATACTATATTTTTAAACCTATACAGTGGGACCTCGGTTTACGAATTTAATGCGTTCTCCAGGAAGTTTCGTATTGCGAAAAATTTGTAAACCGAAACACGGTTTCCCATAGGAATGCCTTGAAAACCAATTAATGCGTTCCGGAGGTGAGAAAAAAGTCAAATAAAGTATTTTATCTGTTCAAAACTCTTTATAAAGTGCACTTTAAAGGCATAAATACTGTACAGGGACATGATTAATCAAGCAATAACATTTCAAACATCCAACTTTATGTTTTAAAACATCGCACATCAACTTTTAAAACATGGCAGACTGTTGGTAACATGGTACAGTATACTTCAACTGAACATAAATCAAATGTCAACAGGGAAAACATGGAAAATTTCAAAACAATTTTAACACTTTTTGGAAGATGAGGAGGATGAGGGCAATTGGGCAGCACTAACACAAGCAGGTTCTTCTTCATGTCTAGGCTGTTTTTGTAGGAACCTTTCCATTGTATGCTGCCTCTGGCGCGTTTTAAGCATCCCTCGGAAAGGGGACATGATGTCTGTGTCAAAACTGCTCACAAGTCTGTGGGCTAGAGCCTTATCTGGGTGGTGCTGCTGTAGGTTTCCCCACATTTGGTATGCCTCCTTGAGTTCCGTGGAAGAGAGCTGTTCCTCACTAATTTCCTCCTCCTCCTCAAATGTGGTCTGCTCCTCCATCGCCTCCTTCTGCAATTCCACCAGCTCCTCCTGGTTAGGTCACAGACGTGTTCCTCCACCAGCTCATAGACATCCTCCTCAGTCACCTCCAGGCCCATGGTGCTCTCCAAGGAAACAATTTCCTCCAACACTGTTGACTCTGGTGCAGGTGCAGAATCACTGGAGGCAGGTTTCACAACACAGTCTGGCCACAGATTGCGCCAAGCAGAATTTAGGTTTGTCTGGCTGACCTCAGCCCAGGCAATGGTGATAATCTGCAGACAGCTCACAATGTCAAAATGATCTCTCCAAAATTAAAACCTGCTGCAAATGGCTCCAAAAGGCTCCACAACTTGCTGCAAATGGCTCCAAAACCTCTCCAACACCTCCACACTCCACACTCACGTGCTACCCAGACTCCAGTATGCAGGGGGCGGAGCTATAAACCGGGACACTTGTTTTGTATTGCGAAAAAATTCTTAAACCGAGGCATTTTTTTTTTAACGAATTCTCATTCGTAAACCAAATTGTTCGTTAACCGAGGTTCCACTGTATTACTATGTAACTGTGGCGTTCTTTCAGTGGGGCTATTTTGGCATAAGATTTACAATTACCTTGTGAATTCCTAAAATTCATGTTTTAGTGAATAACCCTGTGTGTGTCTTACAATTAACATGCTCTACTCTTACGAAATTATTCAGCATGCTTCTGAGACTTAGGATACTGGATAAACATATATCTCTGGGTATATGTATAAACACATATACCCAACATTTATCCAGTAGCATATACATAGAAAAATAATTGTTCTTTAAACCTAAAAATAATCACAATCAAAACTATTGTTTTGTCAATTCATGTTTTACTACCTATGTATTCTGTTTTTCAAATTGGATACATTAATTTTCATGACACCATATTCTGGCGTTTTTTTTCTCCTTAGTGATCGGTAGTGAAGAGGTTAAAAGCTCACAAAAATAACTGAGTCAATGACTCCAAAAATAGCCCACATTGGTATGCAAAGCATTATTGAATACCGTAGTACATTTCGTAATGAACTTGTCCAAACATTTATGGAACAGCTGTGACTTATATTTGTAGTGGGACTACTCCGAGACATCTTTAAACCTAGATGAATATACAGTGTCAAAAATGAATAGATAAATACAAGTATAAAAAATAATGGCATGTAAAGGGAGTGTTAAATCTACCAATTAAAGTAATAAAAATTAGTTTATGAAAGGTCCACGTTGTCATTTTGTATCATTTACTACAAATTCAAATAAATGTTTTTAAATTTAAAGGAACACTCGAACGTGAAATAACATTTTTTTTAAAATAGTTGGAAAAAAAAAGCCCATAAAACGTATCTGTAATCCTGTTCCAGTACAGTCTCCCCTATGCTGGTAGCCCAGGCACAGTGTAATCCTCAATCATGATGATCTCTGGAACAATCAAATGCTTCTCATTTAGAAAACACAGCATACGTTACCAAAATCCATAAAACCAATTTCTTCACATGGTGAAGCACTCAATCCAATGTTCTCTCTGAGAAGCATTAGCCACATTTGGCATCAGGAGGGTATGCTGAACATATAGACATCAAGCCACCAGAAGTATGTTTCTGGCCAAATGTAAACATTACCTTATGTCAGATATGGTCATTACATTGTCTGAGATAAGGGACATCATATGTGCGTTATTAACTGTTTTATCTTTGTTATTAACTGTTATATCTTTGAATATTCTGTTTTTCCAGTAATGCTTTATGTAAAGAACCCTTTTATTTTTCATCTCCTCTGTTCAAATCTAAATGAGTGACCTCTCTTTTGCACAGTCCTATTAATAACAGATTAGCAGAGAGCTGGTTTCACTGTCTCTTTATAGATTTGTATAATGTTAAAATATCTCCTCTGATCCACCTTCTTTCTAATTTAATCAATTTCAAGTTTTTGAGCCTTTTTTCATAACTAAAATCTTCCATTCTTCTAGTTAATTTTATAACTTTTTCACTGTTACTAGGTCCATAATATTCTTATTTCAAACAGGTGCCCAAAATTTCACCACTTATTCAAGGTGATGCCTTACTATTGATTTATAAGAGATAAGAGCATGAATACTAAGTTGTATGCATGATAATACATTGTTGCTTAGTTTGTTGAATATAAATATTCCCAAATTCAAATTGTTTTATCTAACTCTGCACCATTTACGGTTAAGGTAAATTGCTTGTGTATTCTTAACTAGTGATGTCCCGAACGGTTCGCCGAATGGTTCGCCACGAACGGTTCGCCACGGACTCATCATTGAGTAAACTTTGACCCTGTACATCACAGTCAGCAGACACATTCCAGCCAATCAGCAGCAGACCCTCCCTCCCAGACCCTTCCACCTCCTGGACAGCATCCATTTTACATTCATTGTGAAGCTGCATTCTTAGTGAGCTGTCCAGGAGGTGAGAGGGTCTGGGAGGGATGGTCTGCTGCTGATTGGCTGGAATCTGTATGAGCTGCATTACAAACTGAAACGCTGCACATACAGACTCCAAGCACCATGACCACTTAAAATAACTGTAGTGGTCATGGTGCTTGGAGTAACCCTTCAAAGAGACACTCTAAGCACCATAACTACTATAGACTGCTGTAGACTGCGATGTCAAGAGTCAAAACATTCTAGAGGGGTATGACACTTACTTGGGTCATTGGGCATTTGCAGTCTGGCTCCTTTTTACATACGTTCCCCTTACTTTGACTGTATGTCCTCAGAGATCAGTGCCGGTGCTAGGATTTTAAGTTACACAGGCGAACATGCATTTTGGTGCCCCTCAACCTCCTTTAAAAAAAAAAAATGCATCTTCACCTGTGTGTATTTCCTCCCAAGCCACAGGCATATTTTTTCAGTCACACAGTCATACAAACACAGAAATAATCATACAGAGACATTTAGACACATACAGTCAGTCAGAGACATACAGACATACAGGCAAAGACATACATGCATACAGAGACATGAAGGCATATAAAAACATGCATACATACAGAGGCATACCGTCATACAGACACATACATACATACAGAAACATACATACAAAGACATCCAGGCACATACATACATACAGACATACAGGCATGCACATACATACATACAGGCATACAAAGACATGCATGCATACAGAGACATACTGCCATACAGACACATACATATATACAGGCATACAGAGACATACATATATACAGGCATACAGAAACATACATACAAAGACATACAGGCATACATACAGAGACATACAGGCATACAGAAACATACATACAAGACATACAGGCATACAGACACATACAAACATTCATACATAGAGAGGCAAACCGTCATACAGACATACATACATAAACATACATACAAAGACATACAGGCATACAGAGACACACAGACACATACGTACATACAGAGACATAAAGGCATACAGTTACACACATGCATACAGAGACATATATACAGACATTCAGAGACAAACAAACATTTAGTTACATACATGCATGCATACAGATACATGCATGCATACAGAGACATACATACATAGAGATAGATACATACATACAGAGACATACATACACAGACATACAGACATACACACATACAGAGACATACATACATAGAGATAGATACATACATACAGAGACATACATACACAGACATACAGACATACACACATACAGAGACATACATACAGAGACATACATACATACAGATACATACATGCATGCATACAGATAGATACATACATACAGAGACAGACATACAGAGACAGACATACATACATACAGATACATGCATGCATACAGATAGATACATACATACATACAGAGACATACATACATACAGAAACATACATACAGAGACATACATACAGAGACAAACATACATACAAACAGAGACATACTGACATACACATACATACAGACAGAGACATACAGAGACATACAGAGACATACATTCAGACAGAGACATACATACATACATACATACATACAGAGACATACAGAGACATACATAGAGACATACAGACATACATTCATACAGACATACATACAGAGACATACACACATACAGAGACATACATACATACATACATACAGAGACATACAGAGACATACATTCAGACAGAGACATACATACATACATACATACATACATACAGAGACATACAGACATAAATACAGAGACATACATAGAGACATACATAGAGACATACAGACACACATTCATACAGACATACATACATAAATACAGAGACATACATACATACATACAGAGACATACATAGAGACATACATAGAGACATACAGACACACATTCATACAGACATACATACAGAGACATACATACATACATACATACAGAGACATACAGACATAAATACAGAGACATACATACATACATACATACAGAGACATACATAGAGACATACATAGAGACATACATAGAGACATACAGACACACATTCATACAGAGACATACATACAGATACATACATGCATGCATACAGATAGATACATACATAGAGATAGATACATACATACAGAGACAGACATACAGAGACAGACATACATACATACAGATACATGCATGCATACAGATAGATACATACATACATACATACAGAGACATACATACATACAGAAACATACATACAGAGACATACATACAGAGACAAACATACATACAAACAGAGACATACTGACATACATACAGAGACATACACACATACAGAGACATACATACAGAGACATACAGAGACATACATTCAGACAGAGACATACATACATACATACAGAGACATACATAGAGACATACAGACATACATTCATACAGACATACATACAGAGACATACACACATACAGAGACATACATACATACATACATACAGAGACATACATACAGAGACATACAGAGACATACATTCAGACAGAGACATACATACATACATACATACATACAGAGACATACAGACATAAATACAGAGACATACATAGAGACATACAGACACACATTCATACAGACATACATACAGAGACATACATACATACATACATACAGAGACATACAGACATAAATACAGAGACATACATACATACATACAGAGACATACATAGAGACATACATAGAGACATACAGACACACATTCATACAGACATAAATACAGAGACATACATAGAGACAGACATACATACAGAGACAGACATAGAGACAGACATACATACAGAGACAGACATACAGACATACATACACAGACATACATAATTACATACTTACATCTGTTAAATCTTGTCCCCTGGGTGCATGCTGTCCGGCTCTGTGGAGTCCAGTCCTGCAACCCAGCCCCATCACAGGGCGCCAGCCGCGCTGTGTGGGACACAGGGAGCAGGGATATGATGTCATTCATATCCCCGCCCCCTCCACACAGCCTGCGGCAGACACCAGGATAGGAGGTGGGCGGGCCGAGGCTGAGCTCCGCGGGCGGGAATCTCTGGGCTGCGCTCGGTAGTAACCAGCTGGAGGGGAGCCAGGTGCGCTTCCCTCCTTCCTGTCTGCCTGATGTCGCGCCCCCAGGGCTGGTGCGCCCTAAGGCGGCCGCCTGGGCCGCCTTATGGTAGCGCCGGCCCTGTCAGAGATAAATGTAAAACCATTAAAAAGTCTGAGTTTTAACAGTGAGGTGGCACTATAGGACTACTAGCACCATAACCACAAAAACATGATTCAATGGTGATGGTGCTTAGAGTGCCCCTTTAAGAGTCAAAATATACATGGAACCAGAAATTAAAAACAGGAAGGTTTCTTTTTCAGTCTGTATTAGTTTGATTCCTGCATACACGGTTTGTACTTTATCCCCTTCCCAAATGCAGATGTACCAGGTATGTCCGTCAAAAAATGGTCGTTAACGACCTCAAACGTACCTGGTAAGTCTGTGGCAAACTATGCACTTACCTGATCGCTGGCGATCCCCTGCCGGCGATTGCGATTTGGGGACTTGCCTGGCTCATCCGCCCTCCCCCCCCAGGCCATGTGATAAGCTCTCAGGCTGTCCCCCTCATGCCTGCAAAAAAGTTTTAAAAGTAAAAATAAAGTTTTAAAACACTTCCATTTTTTTTAATAAAAGTACTTAGATCATATATATATATGTAAATATATATATGATCTAAGTACTTTTATATACATATACACAATCCATTATTCTAAGTGTATTTTGATATTACCATATAAAATTATATAGATATTAATATTAAAATACACTTAGAATGACATTATATATATATATATATATATATATATATATAAAAGAAAAAAGAAAAATATGATAGCACTCTCAGGTCTATAAAAATATATAAAACTTAACTTTTAATTAACTATGCAAAAAAAATCAACGTTTCAGTCTGCTAATCGCAGACTTTCATCAGGATTAATACACATACACACAGATATTCAATATATAGTAAAATATAAATTAGTAATGTCCGTCAAAAAATGGTCGTTAACGACCTCAAACGTACCTGGTAAGTCTGTGGCAAACTATGCACTTACCTGATCGCTGGCGATCCCCTGCCGGCGATTGCGATTTGGGGACTTGCCTGGCTCATCCGCCCTCCCCCCCCAGGCCATGTGATAAGCTCTCAGGCTGTCCCCCTCATGCCTGCAAAAAAGTTTTAAAAGTAAAAATAAAGTTTTAAAACACTTCCATTTTTTTTAATAAAAGTACTTAGATCATATATATATGTAAATATATATATGATCTAAGTACTTTTATATACATATACACAATCCATTATTCTAAGTGTATTTTGATATTACCATATAAAATTATATAGATATTAATATTAAAATACACTTAGAATGACATTTTATATATATATATATATAAAATAAAAATAATAAAATAAATAAATTGAAAAAAATGAAAATAATAAAATAAATAATATTAGCAAAATTAAGGTAGTAAAACAAATTATATACCATTTTAAATTTGTTCTAACTATATTTTGATATTAATATACAAATATATTTAAATCAAAATACATTTAGAATAACGTTATAAATACATATATCCCGTTAACGACCGCGGACGTACTAGGTACATTTGACAAAAAACGGTTGTTAAGGTACGTCCGCAGCAAATAGGAACCCTGGACTTACCTGGACCGGCATGCCGCAGCGATCCCAGTCGGGACTGCCCGATACCGTGTACAGTACCCCTGCAGCAGCTCCAGCCACCCCGGCCCTTCAGGGCAATAGGAATCTATGGAGCTGCCAGCAGGGGGATTGTCTGAGCTGTCAGGCAGTCCCCCAGGCTACATATATAATATATTATAAAATAATTAAAGCATTTTATAATATATTATACATATATAATGCATATACACATGAAGGGTTATTCAGGGATTGCTGACAGGTATCAGTGTTACAATGTAACTTTTGTTAATTTAAAAAAAACAAATGGTTTGGAAATAGTGAAGTGCTACTTGTACTTATTGCCCTATAACTTGCAAACAAAAGCTAAGAACATGCTAACATTAGGTATTTCTAAACTCAGGACAAAATCTAGAAACTATTTAGCATGGGTGTTTTTTTGGCGGTTGTAGATGCAAAACATATTTTGGGGGTCAAAGTTAGAAAAAGTGTGTTTTTTAAATTTGTTCATCATATTTTATATTTATTTTACAGTAAATTATATGATATGACAAAAATAATGGTATCTTTAGAAAGACCAAATAATGGCGAGAAAAACGGTATATAATATGTGTGGTTACAGTAAATGAGTAAGAGGAAAATTACAGCTAAACACAAACGGCAAAAATTTAAAAACAGCCCTGGTCCTGAACAGTAAGAAAACTGAAAAACTGTTCTATCTCACTGAAATTCCAATGCAGTCAAAAGATATACTTACACAAAATAGGGACTTTCATTAGTTTTTTCCTGTGCTTGACAAAAAGGCTGAGCTACCTTTTGTTAAGTGTTTGCAAACCAGAAATATATATCACACCAAAAGGGATACAGCTGTTAAAAGAAAAAAACTAAACAATACATAGTGGTAATATGTCCAAATCAATATCAAATGACACTTTTACTGGTAACACTCACAATGTGGTGGAATGAGTATCACCTTAAGGGTGCCTCACCTGATGGTGTTGGGGAGCTGGTACCTCGTCTACCTCTATGGATGCCTCATTGCCAGAAACTGGATGCAACAAGAACCACAATCAAGAATCCAAGGAAGGGTGGAGGGAGTCACGGGCTTAGGTGGGGGATGGGGGAAATGGAGCAGTGCAAGGATTTTTGGGTACATAGGCAAAGATGCATTTTTCCACCCCTTCCCCCCCAAAAAATAACATCTTCACCTGTGTGCCTTTTAACCTCCCTTTTGTGTTTCTTATCCACTCTATTAAATGTCTTACCCCATTTGGTGTATCTTAGCTCCTATTTTTCCTCCCTTGTGTATCTCTTACACCCCCCTTCTGTGTCTCTTATCTCCCCTCTTTGTATGACTCTCACATCCTCCCACATTTTGCGTGTCTTGCCCCTTGACTCCTTCTCTCCCAGCCCCTTTGTGTATTTTGCTCTTCCCAGCTCCTTTGTGTGTGCCTCTTACACCCCCAGACCTTCTGTCTCCCCCCCAGCCCCAATGTGTGTCTATTTGTCCCTTTCTCAAGCCCTGCTGTGTGTTTCTTGCACATCCAGCCCCTCTCCCCTGCCCTTCCCTGTCCATTAGTGTCCCCACTCCTCCTTCCTTTCCCTGTCCCTTAGTGTTTCTCTCCCCACCCCTCCCTGTCCCTTAGTGGTCCCCTCCCCTTCCCAGTGTGCCTTTTATCTCTCTTGTAGCGTGGCTGAGCGGAGCAGATCCTGGTACAGGAGCTTACATTTTCTGTACCTGGCCGGACTGACAGGAAGTCCTCTCTCTCAGTGAGCACTTCCTGTTAGTCTGGCCAGGTACAGGAAACAGAAGCTCCTGTAGCACGGTCCACTCTGCTCGGCCACTCTACACTCAGTGGTGTATACACATTGACAGTCACACACACTCAATGACAAACACACAGACGTCACTGACAGACACAGACTCACTAATCTGACACACACTTATTCATTGACTGACACACACACACGCACACTGACAGACACACACACACTGACAGACACACTCATACACTCACAGACACACACACTCATACACTCACTGGAAGACACACACATACACACACACACACGCACTCACAGACACTCACTAATTATTAATATTTTTATAATTAAAAATATTCCATCCAGCCTCCCTACCTGGAGAGCTGGCGTGGGTCTGTCATTGGGGGTCCAGTGGGGCTGCTGGGAGGCATGCGGCTGTAGTAGAATCTGAGGCGGCGAGGGAGCTCTGATCTCCCTCTTCTGCTCCCTCGTGCCTCACGGGCTGTCTACTTATGCCGGGAGCTGGAATATGACGTCACATTCCGGCTCCCGCAGCATCAGCAAACAGTGCGAGAGGGAGCAGAGCAGAGAGATCAGAGCTCCCTCTCCGCCTCGGATTCTACCACACGCCAGGAGGTCTAGAAGGTGGCCTAGTAGAAGGGAGCGCTTTCCTCCTGCCAATCACTGGAATCTTGCTCCTCCTTATGGATGCCCCGGCCCTGAGGGGATGCAAAATTTATGAAAACATAGCTGATCTGTAAGAAAAAAAATATTCTCTATTCACAGCTTGACTATTTTAGATTCAGCATTACCATTTGAATTTTATTTGGCCACAGTCCACAGTTTAGTGAATAACTCTTACAGTTTTTATTTATTTATTCATCTTTAATTTTGAAATGTTGGAAGCCTATTTAAAAGATTGCCACATCCGGAATGATGCAATGACGACTTTGTAAAGTGCAATAGATTTTGGCGTTGACAAATAATCACAAGCTGTTTTTAAGATAGCTGGCCAAATGTATCAGAAGCAACTGAAGCAGTCAGATTAAGTCATTCCTTGTACTCATTGGCTGAGCAGCATGATTCACCCCTCCAATTTTAGATCTTTTGCCTATTTTTACAGAAGGCAATTATCATCCTTAAAGTCAACACCCTGAAAATTTGGACTGACAGCATGCATTGAAGGGAGTTAAATTTATCTCAGTGATAAAGTACCAGTGAGCCATAACTCTCATAACTGATATTTATAGCCACGAAATTGAAAGTTAATACCTTTTTATCATCTTGTTTATTCTTGTTCCTTAACGTTGCTGCTAATCCTATGGAGTTGTGCTGTGAACGCCTCTTTGTCTGTGAAAGACCATTGTCACTTTACATTTCAATAACATGGGAGGGTAGCAGTAGAAAATCAAATGTGAGTTATGAGATCAGTCAGTCATACTTAATAAATTACTCAAATTGGGCATTTTTGTACACATTTTCGACCCGTGGTGTTCCTGTTTTTTTTTGGAAACATTATATGGAGTTCTGTGAATAAAATGGAAATGTGAACTGCAATTGACAAGGTTTTAACCAAAATAATCAAGTTGAAAAAAACAAACACATAAACTATACAGTATGGTCCAATCAACCACTACAAATCAACCACATAGACTATACAGTATAATCCAATCAACTACTACAAATCAACCACATAGACTATACAGTATGATCCAATCAACCACTACAAGTCAACCACATAGACTATACAGTATGATCCAATCAACCAATACAAATCAACCACATAGACTATACAGTATGATCCAATCAACCACTACAAATCAACCACATAGACTATACAGTATGATCCAATCAACCACTACAAATCAACCACATAGACTATACAGTATAATCCAATCAACCACTACAAGTCAACCACATAGACTATACAGTATAATCTAATCAACCACTACAAATCAACCAGACTATACAGTATAATCCAATCAACTACTACAAATCAACCACATAGACTATACAGTATGATCCAATCAACCACTACAAATCAACCACATAGACTATACAGTATGATCCAATCAACCACTACAAATCAACCACATAGACTATACAGTATGATCCAATCAACCACTACAAATCAACCATGTAGACTATACAGTATAATCCAATCATCCACTTCAAATCAACCACATAGACTATATAGTATGATCCAATCAACTACTACAAGTCAACCACGTAGACTATACAGTATGATCCAATCAACTACTACAAATCAACCACATAGCCTATACAGTATGATCCAATCAACCACTACAAATCAACCACATAGACTATACAGTATGATCCAATCAACCACTACAAGTCAACCACATAGACTATATAGTATGATCCAATCAACCACTACAAATCAACCATGTAGACTATACAGTATATCCAATCAACCACTACAAATCAACCAGACTATACAGTATAATCTAATCAACCACTACAAATCAACCATGTAGACTATACAGTATGATCCAATCAACCACTACAAGTCAACCAGACTATACAGTATAATCTAATCAACCACTACAAATCAACCACATAGACTATACAGTATGATCCAATCAACCACTACAAGTCAACCAGACTATACAGTATAATCTAATCAACCACTACAAATCAACCATGTAGACTATACAGTATGATCCAATTAACCACTACAAATCAACCACTGCAAATCAACCACGTAGAATATACAGTATGATCCAATCAACCACTACAAGTCAACCAGACTATACAGTATAATCTAATCAACCACTACAAATCAACCACATAGACTATACGGTATGATCCAATCAACCACTACAAGTCAACCAGACTATACAGTATAATCTAATCAACCACTACAAGTCAACCATGTAGACTATACAGTATGATCCAATCAACCACTACAAGTCAACCACGTAGACTATACAGTATGATCCAATCAACCACTACAAATCAACCACATAGACTATACAGTATAATCCAATCAACCACTACAAATCAACCATGTAGACTATACAGTATAATCCAATCAACCACTACAAATCAACCACTACAAATCAACCACATAGACTATACAGTATGATCCAATCAACCACTACAAATCAACCACATAGACTATACAGTATGATCCAATCAACTACTACAAATCAACCACATAGACTATACAGTATAATCCAATCAACCACTACAAGTCAACCACATAGACTATACAGTATAATCTAATCAACCACTACAAATCAACCAGACTATACAGTATAATCCAATCAACTACTACAAATCAACCACATAGACTATACAGTATGATCCAATCAACCACTACAAATCAACCACATAGACTATACAGTATGATCCAATCAACCACTACAAATCAACCACATAGACTATACAGTATGATCCAATCAACCACTACAAATCAACCATGTAGACTATACAGTATAATCCAATCATCCACTTCAAATCAACCACATAGACTATATAGTATGATCCAATCAACTACTACAAGTCAACCACGTAGACTATACAGTATGATCCAATCAACTACTACAAATCAACCACATAGCCTATACAGTATGATCCAATCAACCACTACAAATCAACCACATAGACTATACAGTATGATCCAATCAACCACTACAAGTCAACCACATAGACTATATAGTATGATCCAATCAACCACTACAAATCAACCATGTAGACTATACAGTATAATCCAATCAACCACAACAAATCAACCAGACTATACAGTATAATCTAATCAACCACTACAAATCAACCATGTAGACTATACAGTATGATCCAATCAACCACTACAAGTCAACCAGACTATACAGTATAATCTAATCAACCACTACAAATCAACCACATAGACTATACAGTATGATCCAATCAACCACTACAAGTCAACCAGACTATACAGTATAATCTAATCAACCACTACAAATCAACCATGTAGACTATACAGTATGATCCAATTAACCACTACAAATCAACCACTGCAAATCAACCACGTAGACTATACAGTATGATCCAATCAACCACTACAAGTCAACCAGACTATACAGTATAATCTAATCAACCACTACAAATCAACCATATAGACTATACGGTATGATCCTAATCAACTACCACAAGTCAACCAGTACTATACAGTATAATCTAATCAACCACTACAAATCAACCATGTAGACTATACAGTATAATCCAATCAACCACTACAAATCAACCATGTAGACTATACAGTATAATCCAATCAACCACTACAAATCAACCACTACAAATCAACCACATAGACTATACAGTATGATCCAATCAACCACTACAAGTCAACCACGTAGACTATACAGTATGATCCAATCAACCACTACAAATCAACCACATAGACTATACAGTATAATCCAATCAACCACTACAAATCAACCATGTAGACTATACAGTATAATCCAATCAACCACTACAAATCAACCACTACAAATCAACCACATAGACTATACAGTATGATCCAATCAACCACTACAAGTCAACCACATAGACTATACAGTATGATCCAATTAACCACTACAAGTCAACCACATAGACTATACAGTACAACCCAATCAACCACTACAAATCAACCATGTAGACCATCAACCATCAACCACTACAAGTCAACCACATAGATTATACAGTATAATCCAATCAACCACTAAAAATTAACCACGTAGACCAGGGGTTCTCAACCCAGTCCTCGGGACCCCCTACCAGTCCAGAATTTGGGGATTACCTGGGTGTGTCTAAGGTGTTTAGAAAAAGGGGGAAAAAAACACCTTAGACTCTAAGGTGTTTTTTCTTTCTTTTTTTAAACACCTTAGACATACCCAGGTAATCCCTAAACCCTGGACTGGTAGGGGGTCCTTGAGGACAAGGTTGAGAACCCCTGACGTAGACTATACAGTATGATCCAATCAACCACTACAAGCCAACCACGTAGACTATACAATATAATACAATCAACCACTAAAAATTAACCACTTGCACTTCCAATGACACTAATGGGCATAACCTGGCACAAATGTTAACTGTGTCACCAAACATGACTCTGAGAAACAGAGAAGCAGCAGAATAAACTCTCCTTTATTATTGTTTTGTAAATTGGTTATAATTAACTGTTTATTGATTAAATTTCTTTAGATGAATCATCTGCAGAGAATGCTTTCCCCCTTGCTTTCCCGGATCTAGATCAGCAACTTCAGGTAAGAAAGTATTAAGAGTAAAATACATTGCTAGCCAGCCGCTATAAAAAAAAAAAGTTACAAAAACAACACAAACAACAAAAAAACAACATACAAGGCTCCATATGGAGTTATTTTTCCTCTCATATGTCCCCACCTGTCATGTCATGGATAGTGGCATATCTGCTAAATGGCTTCTAACCCTTAATGCCCCAGGTTGAAGATTAGCTATTGCTGCCCAGTCATTGAAAGGTAAGACAGGTTGGGTATAAGTGAGTATATAAATTCCTCTATAGTTAGTTGGGGGTCATACAGACCACCAGATACTTTTAATTTAATTCTTCATTTTTGTGTCCACAAATTGAACTGTTCTCCTTATGAAGGTTGTTTTGAACTATTAGCTTACCAACTGTTAGCACTGTCAACTGACAAATAATCTAGATTTTTAAAAAATCACTTGCTAGATGGCAAGTGTATCTATTTACTGGGCTTACCTGTCAAGATCTGATTTAAATGTATTGTTTAGTAAATATGCTAATACTGTGTTGTTGATAGGATTCACGTGTGAAAACGACAGATTTTAAACCAGAATCTGAATACTAGAACATTTCCTATAATTTTTTGATGAGTTGATGATCTGTTCTGAGTGAGTTATATTGCTGTGACAATCTGTCATATACACATATATTCTAGTTTTGTGATACAGTCTTGCACAATGTGCAAAATTCTGATATCTTTCAAGAAGGACACTCAGAAGCTATCAGATACTGGCTGAGATTTTTGAGAGTTGGGGATTAGTATGTTTTACAATATTAGGTGAAAGTCAGTTGTTGGACATTCTCGCTGCAGATTACTGAATTATATTATTATATTATATTATGCCCTTAAATGTACCTTATGTTACCTTTCAGATACACAACACATCTAATATGTGCTTTTTGTTGCAGCCTCTCCCACCATGTAACACCTCCAAAGAATCGATGCACTTATATAAGCAGCACTGTAAGATTGCTGAGGAATATCATGAAGTAAAGAGGGAAATAGCTCTACTGGAGGAAAGAAGGTAAGTGTCTTAATCGTCCAGGCACTGATTCTAAAATGGCACATACATTGGAATTCTAAACATAGATACACATTTACCATGTCATGATGTAGGGTTGTCTTCATTTAGAGCGGCACTGTCACTTCCACTGAAAACTGAGTATTTTAATAAAGTTAGAATCTTTATCGAATACTCATCTTGACTGGGTTTGGAATTTTGCTGAAATTTCATCCCAGTCAAAAGAGATACTTCTATTCCGCCTGATTTTCTTAGACTCAGGGCACAGTCTAAGTGTCAATCCTGACAGCCGTCACCAGTGACGACTGCAGAGAATTGGCTGCGTCTATGGAGGATTCCAAGGTCTTGAGGGATCCTCCATAGACCTCAATGCGCATGTGTCAGCTCATGGTGCTGAAAGAGCTGATGGCTCATTGTGTGCCATTACAGAGAGAACCTAAACCATTTTCACATCCGACTGCTCCCACCCAAAAGGTCAGCACAAATCCAAAACGCAGGCTTGCTACTTCTGCACGAGAAACACAGCAACCCCAAACGACCATTTGAGCCTTGGTAGACCGTGCCAGTGGGGTATAACTGAGGTAGGGGTCCAAGTCTGGGTTACCCTTTTACCTTAAGTGGAGCAAAAAATAGTGTGCAAAAGAATACTGAGAACGGACAACAGCTCAAATAGCTTGCCCTTCGGTCTCTGCTCAGAGCTCAAGCTGGTTTAAGCTCATCTTGTGCCATTACACAGAGAACCTAAAACATTATTATCACTAGAGTTGATTTCAACCTTATTTCTTTTTTTTATTGTTTTATTTATCTTACTAATGTAAGAATTCTTTAATTTATTTTTCGGTTTATTTATTTTGTTAAATTCTAAGATTACCTTTTCTTCTCTTCTAGGAAAGAGCTGATGGCCCGGCTGGATCAAGTAGAAAAAGAAAATTCTGATGCTGTTCACTTGGCCATGGAATATGAAGAGCTGACAATAGAGAATCAAAGCCTTAACGTAGCTCACTCGCGATGTAAAGAACAACTAGAAAAAATAAGACAGCAGTATCAAAAAAGGCAGGGGTCTTCCTAACCCTCGTGCGGCAGACACTGTGCGGTGAACCAACACAGGTCTCTAAGGAAATTGGATAATATATCAGCACTTTCTTTTTAAAATGTTATTAGAAGTGTTGCTTACTAACAGGGCTGGATTACCTACTAAGCACACTAGGCATTAATCAGAGCACCATTGTTCTAGGGTTATGCTGTCAATTTATGGGAGTGGCTAAACACATGCCCTGCCAGTTTTTTTGTACACCACAACCACTTTTCACAAACCTATGCCATATTCCTCTCATGCTATAACTCTGTCCTGCTTGTGCTCGATAATCACACAAATTCTTTAATTGTTATTGAAACATTTCAGTTTTTAACTGTATAAGATTTAGTTTCATTGTATCTTAAAGGTCCTCTTTCACCTTCTGGGATTCTTGCACCACAATGGTGACTGCTCCGCGTGTTGTGTGGGGGCAGGGTAAGGCAGTTTTTACCTACCTGCACCTGTCCCTTGTGGGCGCCACCATCTTTTTCCATGAGGTTGTCTTCAGCTACTGACACGTCATCTGCCAGGAACCGATGTCATTGCTGTACACTTGTGAAGGAGCAACACCGACACCTATGAAGGATCCCGGAAGACTCTCCATAAAACCAGCCATTTTCTCTTCAGCTACTAGTGATGACTAATGGCTTGACAAGACTTTTCTTAAACTTTGTCAAGCATAGGAAAAACACACAAGACAAAGTAGTCCCTACTTTGACTTATAATGTCTTTTGACTGGGTTGTTATTTCAGTGAAATTCCAACACAGTCTTTATGAGCATTTCATAAATATGTTATCTTTCTGAAATGATGATTCTTTGGGGGGAGAGCAGAGTGAGGGGGGGGGGGAGGGGGTGATTGAGTGACAGAGCAATTTTAACCCCTTAAGGACCAAACTTCTGGAATAAAAGGGAATCATGACATGTCACACATGTCATGTGTCCTTAAGGGGTTAAAAGGGTGCTTATAATATTTAAGTCTGGGAGCGACTGTGAAATAAAACTAGACCTGCTTACTAAACAGCCCCAGGAATACTGTAGAAGTAAGATAATTTCATAAGGCAGAAGCAGAGTTTGTATGTGGTAGGCAGTCCGTGTCATAGTTATACAGAGATAGTAGAATATCTTGGGCGTCAGAGGACTCTGAGACTCAGCTGATGTTTTTTTTTTTGCTAAACTGGACATCGTGGAGAAATGGAAAAGGCTGGATTCTCAGTAAGCAAAGTTAGGGTTACGAAATAGCAAATCCTCCTGTTTAGTTCTATGGGAACCCTTACTGTGTGAAGACAATCCAGCCTACAATTTGCAATTTTCCTTTTCAGTTCTTTACTATTTCCTTTTTAGACAATAAATTTGAATGGTTTATTCACTAAATAGTAATTGAAGTAACATGAAAACAAAATTACAAAACTTTGGATAAAATGCAAATCGACGCTTTGACTATAATTGGAGTTGGAGTATCAGCACTTTTTGCATACATTTTGCATTTGGATGTAAATTCATTACAATTTACCATTTAGTGAATAGACATTTCTATTTTTCTATTTTACTTTTGATGCCCTGTGGTTTAAGAGATGATGTGTTATTTTATTATTTCTATGTTGATGAATAGGTAGATATATAATATTTTTGGCCAAGATTCTGAGTATATTATGTAACAATATTCACTTAGTTTAGCATATAATGCAGTGTTATAAGATGAATGCCTCAGATCTTCTTTAAAAACGTATATTCTTGACAAATAAGCTATTTAGACCAATTTTAGATTAGGCTAGTATCCATATCTATGTACCAAATATTTAAATTCTTATTCATTTTGAAAATCCAAACCACGCACACAAATTATTCTTTAATCATGTAAAGGTTTTGCCCTTAGTTCGCCACACATGTCTAAATAGTTTTTGCATGTGCTTAAAACCTTGTTAGGATAAAATAAACAAATTGATTTTGCCAACATATATTACTTAGTGTGCTGCAGCACGTTATTGAAAAGGTGTATGTATGTCAAATTTTGCCTCTGAAATTGAGAGTTTTAATGGCTGATATTTCTGGATTAATGTAAGACATCATTATACTACTGTTAAAAATTGTATCGTTAATGATGGTGTCACCAGATTACGGTTAGGAGTAGGTTAGAGTTGGTGTAAAGTTAAGTTAAAGTATAGGTTCGGTGTAAGGTTTTGGTTAGAGAGGTCTATAATTTTAGGAGTAAATTGGGTTAGGGATCTTATGGTTAGGGTGTGTTTACGATTATGACCTCTTCTGGCTCAGGGTGATGAGATTACAGTCCACATCACATAGGCAGGTATGCAGCAACCCTGATTTATTTAAGGTGGTGACATCATAGCAGTATTAAAATGACAAAGATAGTTTAAAGATTACGTTTTAAAGTGAACCAGTTAAAGAAGTTCCGCTTAAAATAAAAAGTGAGCTAAATATATATATATACAAAATAAATGAATGCCACATATGGTATTACATTTTCATACCTTCCAACTGTCCATATTTAGTAGTGACAGTCCCTATGTTGTGCCCAAATCCCTCTGTCCCCCTTTTCTATCCTAATGTCCAGCTTTTCACCTTACCAATCACTGACCATGACCCCACTCACACCCCTAAAATTAAAGTGTCCCTCTTTGTCCATTTGAAATATTGGGAGGTATATATTTCGATCATTTCTTTCCACTGCTCTAAAAATGTGCTATTAGGGATTTTGACATATGCAGATATAAACACAAATGTATGGAACTAAATGTTGATGATGTTTACAGCTGTGAGATACTGCAATATGGAAGTTTGATAGGCACAGCTGTAAACTCACTAATTGCACTAAACTCCTTCCCCTATCTCTCTCTTTCCTTTGTTTTCCCTTAGCGCTCAGACACATACAAAAAACATTTCACTCACTGCGGTAGATTTAAAACACAAGGCTTTCAGCCAAATACAAACGCTAACAGATTCCTTCTACTGATCTATACGGTAATAAATACAGTGGTTACCATTGCTCAGTAGATTGTGATAAATTGTCAATTTACTATAATTCACTATTAATTTAAAGAATCCCTACTTGCTGATCTATGCAGTAATGATGTCTAATTAGATACTTGGCACAGGTCTTGATACAGCCCATCGTTCCAGCTCCATCACAGTCTATGCTAATCAATTTTACATTTTGGCCATTCACTTTTTCTTTTCTCATTCATTTCTAGGCTAAAATTCTCTCACCTCCGATTTTTTACTATTGTTCACTCATTTAGTTTTATTATCTAATATTTCACTATATGGTATATTTATCCATTCATTATGCTTGCTATATTTCACCCAATTTGGCATTTTTATTCAATTAACCATAATTAACCCCATTTGCTAGATTTCATCCCATGTACCCATATTAAGTATTTTTTCAGATTTCATCCTGTATACCCTAATTATTTTTTTCAGATTTCCTCCCATATACCATATTTCATTTTATAACTGCTATATTTCACCTCTCATAGTATATCTCATATGCATCCTCATACTACATTTGATGCAGTGACATGTTTTAACTCATATGCCTTGTTTCAGCCTCCGTTTGCCATAGCTCATCACTATCACCATTTTCATACTTCAATCCACATGCCATGTCATCATCACCTAGTTGCCATTTTTATCTCCTAAGTCACATACGTGTATAAGTCCGGTATAACATAAGCATCAAAACAACTTTACTTAAAGAGTTACTAAAACCATCATAACCAATACATCCTGCTGTAGTAGTTATGACGACAGAAGTACCCTACCCTGGCGCTATAGGTAATGAGGCAATAAGCTTTCCAGTGGTTTACCACTAGATAGGGCAATACATTTTCCAATCTTTGAGCTTGGTCCTAGCAGTTGCCAAGTCTCCACTGTAGGCAGGTGTACGAAATTCTACTCCTAGAGCTGTAGAATGTTGGCCGGATGTCAATCCTATTGCTCTTTAATTGGCTGAGAGCATCAGCTGATCAATCTCAGCCAATGAATGTGTGTCTGTGCATTGAAATAAGCAAAAAACTGACTTTAGCCAGCCCAGAACTTTGGTTCCAGGCTGGCTAATGACATCTCAATGCCAATGCTGGAAGTGGAGTTATACCTCTATCAGCAAGTGGCAGGGCCGGACTGGCCCACCGGGATACCGGGAAATTTCCCAGTGGGCCGTCGGCACCTGGGGCCGGCAGGCAGCTGGCTGACCTACGGCCGCAGAGGGAGCTCTTTTGGCGGCCGCAGGGGGAGCTGGCTGTTCTGTCTCTGCTCCCCCTCCCCAGCACGCAGCTTAATGAGACCGGGGCCGGAATATGACAGGTAGCAATTATGTGTGTCAGTGTGAGTGTGTCTGTGTCATTTTTGTGTGTCTGTCATGGTGTGTCTGTCTGTGACATGGTGTGTGTGTCTGTCTGTGTCATGGTGTGTGTGTCTGTGTCATTGTGTGTCTCTGTCTGTCATGGTGTGTGCGTCTGTGTCATGGTGTGTGTGTGTGTGTCTCTGTCTGTGTCATGTTATGTGTGTGTGTGTGTGTGTCTGACTGTGTCATGCAATGCATGTCTGTGTCATTGTGTGTGTCTGTCTGTGTCATGGTGTGTGTGTCTCTGTCATGGTGTGTGCGTCTGTCTGTGTCATGCAATGTGTGTCTGTGTCATTGCGTGTGTGTGTCTGTCTGTGTCATGTAATGTGTGTCTGTCTGTGTCACGGTGTGTGTGTGTCTGTGTCACGGTCTCTCTGTGTCGTGGTGTGTGTGTCTGTGTTATGGTGTGTGTGTCTGTCTGTGTCATGTAATGTGTGTCTGTGTCACGATCTGTCTGTGTTATGGTGTGTGTGTCTGTCTGTGTCATGTAATGTGTGTCTGTGTTATGGTGTGTGTGTGTGTCAAGGTGTGTGTGTGTGTTTTTTAAGGTGTGTGTCTGTCATGGTATGAGTGTGTGTTTGTCATGGTATGTGTGTGTCTCTGTCATGGTGTGTGTGTGTCTGTCTGTGTCAT